CGTTTTCTAGTAGTGGCACTATCATTTTTCAATTCTTTGCGTTACTTGGAATAAAAGAAATTAATACAAATGGGAAGAAATTGGCCTGGTCTGATTTTTCTATTCCACAATACGGTCGACAAGAGAGAAGGATGGACGCAGCCTCTCATGCCTGCAGAGCACACACCATGCGCATTGATGCATGTGTGGGATGGTGTGAGTGAATAATTAGGGTTCATTAAAAATGTTGGTTGCATACTAAGATAACATCATTAACCATCTGATCAATGAAACCATATATATTTATATATATCAAAACAACCCATGTGAGGCAGAATTATTAGTATATGTTTCCTTTTCTTCACTAATCTAGTGCCTCCACAGTTCCCGGAAAGGCTGATCGACTGGGCCTCTTAATCTATTTTATGTCCCATTCTTAAGTTTTATCTCTTATAAGTGAATTCTGAGGTGAATTATTATTATATTTTAAATAATTATTGTCATATTTTTTTAATATAGTTGTTTATTATATTTTTATATTACATTTTTTTAAATATTTATATATTTTTTATTTTGTTTCTTAATAAATTAAAATATATAATAATTAATTTAGATAAAAATATATAATATTATTAATTGAGAGTGTGTCAATAACTCCATCTTAAATTCTCTATTTTCAATGTCTTCAAGATGGAATTAATTACAACAATGATTTGATATCTTAGGATACGTATAGTATGTATTTATATATGTACCTTTGTCATCTCCTGTATAATGATGATCACAGCAAGTGTATATAATTGATGAGATTTAAGTTGAAAGTCATGCGATGAAGGGTTTTATTGAGGCATAAAGATGAAAAGAGAGAGATTGTGACAAGTCATGCGGGCACATTCCCTGATTGGGAACGCTTGTGAGTGAGCAATGAAGGGGCAAGCAATCCTTTCTTCAATGATGGATGTTTAGCTCATCCTCTTTTGGGATGCTGTCTAGTGTCTGTTGGTCCACAGGGGAAAAAAAGAAGAGAGAGAAAAGTAAAGGTCAAGCAACTTGATTTATTAAGAAGTGGGTCTATGCTCGACATGAGAGCAGGGTTAGCTTTCTCCATTGTCTTCGGATTTCATTTTCTTCCTCTAAACTAACCCCCTATTAGATTTCATATTTTTGTATTGATAAAAAAAAAAAAGAAAAAAAGAAATCCAAGAAGTAGGCCATATTGATATTAATGAACACAGCTCCAAGTTGAATACTTAAAATAATAATAATAATAAATCATGGATGCATGCATATATAAATTCATGAAACATAATATATATATATTTTTTTTCTTTTTCTTTTTTTAGCTTAATTCATGAAATATATATGCCAGTTGTCAATGAGATTGCAATTTTCACAAATTAAACTACAATCAAATAGGGATTAAACAATTTAAAAATCAAGGAGAATATGTGGCAACAGAAATCAAGGAAAATGTGGCTCAAAGAAGGGGATGCAAACACCAAGTTCTTCCATAGAAGTGTAAATGGAAGAAAAAGAAGAAATGAAATTTGTAGCATTCTAATTGAAGGGAAGCTGCTCACTGGAGTGTCAAAAATAAAGGAAGGGGTGGCTGAATATTTCCAAAAACTATTCACAGAAGATGTTTGGCAGCGACCTAAACTTGATGGAATGGGCTTTAAGCAGATATCTCAAGCTGATAACAAGTTCCTCATAGCACCTTTCACTGAAGAGGAAATTAGAAAAGTCATTTGGGAGTGTGATTCTTCTAAAGCCCCAGGCCCAGATGGCTTCAACTTCAGATTCATGAAGTCTATGTGGGATGACATTAAAACGGAGGTGATTGGATTCGTAAAGGAATTCCAGGAGCAGGGCAGATTAGAAAGAGGGTCTAATGCCTCCTTCATTGTGTTGATCCCAAAAACCAAGAATCCCCAAAGAATTGAAGAATATAAACCCATATCCCTCATTGGTGTCATGTACAAGGTGGTTGCAAAATTACTGGTAAGCCGCCTATGCAAAGTGATGCATAAGATTATTGGGGAACAACATATGGCATTTATCAATGGCAGACAATTGGTGGATGGAGTAGTCATTGCAAACGAAGTAATTGATGAAGCAAAAAGGAAGAGGAAGAAAAGCTTTGTGTTCAAAGTGAATTTCGAGAAAGCATACGACAAGGTGTGCTGGAAGTTTATAGACTATATGCTGGACAGAATGGCCTTTAGTGGCACTTGGAGGAGGTGGATCCAAGAGTGCTTGCAATTGAGCATGGTGTCAATCCTAATCAACGGAAGCCTAACTCGGCAATTTCCAGTCACAAAAGGCATTCGACAAGGCGACCCCTTATCCCCCTTTTTATTCTTGATAGTGGCAGAGGGTCTAAATGGATTAATGACAGCAGCTGTCAACAAGAAGCTGTATAAGGGTGTGGAAGTCAGAAATGATGCAGTAACAATTACCCACTTGCAATTTGCAGATGACACCATATTCTTTGGGGAGGCATTAGAGCAAAATATTAGAACAGTTAAGTGTATTTTGAGGACATTTGAAATGATGGTGGGGCTGAAAATAAACTTCGAAAAATGTCAGCTTATGGGCATCGAGGTGGAGGATGACTGGAGAAACAAAATGGCTTATAGACTAGGCTGTAAAGAAGGGGAATTCCCAATCAAATACCTGGGGATTCCCATTGGGGGGAACCATAGAAGGCTTAAAATGTGGCAGCCATTGCTAAACTCTGTCACGAAGAAACTGTCGAGCTAGAAAGGGAGATATCTCTCTCAAGGTGGTCGAATTACACTTATTAACTCAGTGTTGTCCAACCTCCCCGTGTTCTTGACGTCCGTCTACTTGATCCCAAAAGGTACGCTTAATTCAATTGATAAAATTCGCAAGAATCTTTTATGGGGGGGTGAGGGAGTAGAGAGAAAAATTAATTGGGTAAAGTGAGATAGAATTTGCAAAGATAAGGAACACGGGGAGCTAGGTGTGAAAGATTTGAAGAAGTTTAATATAGCGCTAATGGGAAAATGGTGGGGTAGATTAGCAACAGAAGAAGAAGGGTTATGGAAAAGGGTCATTAAAGGAAAATATGGAGGGGGAGGGGGGCATTGGCAAACCTGGGTGAGAAATGGAAATGATGGGGGTTCTTTATGGTGGAGAGACGTCCAAAGGATTAACAATGTTGATAGGGAAAATGCTGGGTGGTTAGCGGAGGGGTTTAGATTAAAGTTGGGGGAAGGTAAAGAGGTGAGCTTCTGGTGGGATAAGTGGTGTGGGGGGCGCTGTCTTACTAATATGTTCCCTAGATTATATTTGTTGTCAACAGATAAGGAGAAGAAATGCTACCAAATGGGGAAGGAGCTTAATGGAACATGGGAATGGAACCTAGAGTGGAGAAGAAGACTGATTGAATGGGAAGAAGACTCGGCTTTTGAGCTATCAAAAATGATTGAGGAGGTGAAAATACAACCAGAAATCACAGACTAATGGGAGTGGGTGCACAAAAGGGACGGCAAGTACTCATCTTCATCAGTGTATTCACTGCTGTCAGATACCCAGCAGAATCCAAATGAAAAATTGTTCAAAAGAATATGGAATAACAATATTCCAAGCAAAATTGCAGCATTTAATTGGAGAGTTGTGCTTGACAAAATACCAACCAAAAAGAGCTTGTTGAAAAGAGGAATTGACAGTGTTATGGATGATGGGAAATGCAGACTTTGTGAGGAGGAAGAAGAAGACTCTACCCACCTATTTTTGAGATGTAAAGTAGCGAAGTGGATTTGGAAGGAGTGTGCTAAATGGTGGGGGATTTCTATAAGGTTGGAGTCGGATTGCTGGAAATCTTTCAAACACCTTCATACATGGACCAATGACAACCGGCTCAAAAATGGATGGGATTGCATTTGGAGTGCAGTGATCTGGTCAATACGGCTTTTGCGGAATAGAAAGGTATTTCAAGGCCAAGAAACAAACATGGGTAAGCTATTGGAATTAATTCAATTAAGATCTTTTTTTTTGGATTAAATCGAGCATAGCGGGTTGTCACTTTTATCTTTCAGATTAGTTGTGTAATCCTATAGCTTGTCTTACAGATGCTTAAGAGTAAGCCTGAGAGTAGAATAGTTTGAAAGATAGGAGTAACAATGTAGGCTATCTCTTCTCTGCTCTTGTGTAAAGAATTAGGTGGAATACTACTTGTACATCCACAATATTCTCAATAAATTACCTTTGCTGTGCAAAAAAAAAAAAAAAATAGGGATTAAGCGATCAAAGAAAAAAATGGAGCTGGACGTGAAGTTCTCATTCAAATTTACAAAAGAGCACATGGGTTGAAGTCTTGTTTGCCGTTAGATATAGCTGCTTTGTTCAAATGCAATGGGTGAATGCTTAATTTCAACATTGTCATGAACTACACCCAACGTATGAATAAAATTGGTTTCACCCCATGGTGACTCAAATTACTTAGCATATGCCTTACTTCAACTAGTTAGAACTTCTACCCCTGCCACATGAGCTGTCAAGTATTTCCTGATCTGCACAAATAGAAATTTCAGATGTCCTTCTAGCACAATAAAGATTCTCTCTACACTGCTCCACTCAGATAGACATCTAGTCTTCACCATGTGGGATTAGAAGGAATAAGGTGAGTGCTTGCAAGCATAAAGGACCATAAAATGTGAGGAAAGCGTGCAGGCCTAATGATTACATTCAACGTGAACTGGGTCAACACCTTCAAAGCCACACATAACAAGTTCGACAAAATGCCCTTCTTTATGTTGTTTGATGGTAATTACGCGGTTTATGGAGAATTGATTGGGGAATTTCCACCTAGCATGGTAAGAAATAAAGGATTTACTGGTTAAACTTGCAGGATATGGAGGCACCAAGGTTCATGCTGAATCTCATGTTTCCTAGATAAGATCAAGATGACAATTCATTCATCCACATTCCCCTCTTATCCAAAGAGAAAGAATCATTGGAAGTAAAGGGATAATGCCAATGAGTCAACCATGCTAGTACCCTAGTAGTCTAATGCTTTAGAAAAAGGGCACCTTATGTAAGTAATTTATTTTTCATTTATTCAGCATCGATTCATCCAGAAGTTTAAAAGACATATATGTTCTTTTCATGCATTTCCAGTGCTCCGTGCATATATGTACACAAAGGATGCTAGCTATTCAGTATATGATTAACAGGCCTTAGGTCATTTTGCGTCACAGAGGCCAGTACCTTCGTCACAGAAACCATCACGATCAAGCAACCTTTGAGGTGGAGCACTTAACAGGGGAGAAGAGGGGCTACCATAAGCATTTCTTCGACTATTTCCACAACCTAAACTTGCTCTGGTGCTTACCCCAGTCATTGGATTTGTGCCACTTGCATACTTGCAAAGGGCCTACATAAGCAAATGCAAAAGGATGATAGCAGAAACTATATAATGCTTAAAGATACAGTATATGACAGACGTGATAGAATGGAACAAAGGGCTCAGGAACTACCTAAATATTCATTTAAATTTGAAACAACCTTTGACAGCTAAAACATTGATTACTATCATTTGTTATTCAGATGATCATGAGCAGGCTAAATGTCATAAAAGCTGAAAATTCAACACTCTGGGGGACATCAATAATTGAACTTATCACAGTGCCTTTGCTTTTAAGCAGAGGGAACTTTAATGTTTCCTTGCATTTAAGGCCAGTTTATGGTTGGATGCCACCTAATCTTTTACAATTTACAATCTGTAATGAAAATCTATCAGATGGATAGAATAAAAGTACCCACTACCAAAAGCCAAAAGAATGAAGTGATGGCAAAACTTATCACTGGAAGTGGAGGTCTCAGAATCAACTTCTGAGATGGCAGGGAGAGGTTTGGGAAAGAGGAGGGGCCTGTCTTAAGCTAAAATTGGACTAGAGCAAGTGAAAAATATAACACTGTTTATAACTAAAAGTACCTGCTTCTGAGGTAGATCCAGCACAGCATCACTGAAATCAGCACCTTCAATGACAGCACCCCCAAGGTCACTGCGAGTCAGTACTGATCTCACTAGCACAGCATTTGTAAGATTAGCGTCATTAAGCACCTGAAGGCAAATAGATTTTAGGCAAGAATCTAGAGTTTCTAAAGGAAGAAGAGCTTTACAAGGTCTCCTTCCAACTAAATATGATCACAAGAAATTAAATAAGGTTTTGGAAATTTTACCATACGATCCATCAATGTGTCACTCAGATCCGCACCTGTGAAAAGAAATGCAAGACAGAATTATTCAAGGCATAAAAAACAATCCTCACTAGCATCTGCAGTCCTATACACATCTATTGACACCCCAGCCATTTGCCTTCCGGCAGTGGCATTAAGCTATAAAACAAAGACTAGCAAGTAGCAAGAATTAAAAAATAAAATCAAGTATCTTTTTGTATAGTTTGGTAATTTAATGTCCAAAAGAGAGATTATTCATCAAAACTTGCAAACTAATAATTGCTTGCAAATTTCTTTTACTTGTTGAATTGTACAATCAAGAAGAAATTTGCACACCAAAAGATTGTTTTCATATTAAGCAATCTTTATTCATATAATACTGCAGGAGAGGAGTGAGACTTTCAACTCAACCGTACATGGATTCACTTATGTCAGATGTGCCTGGGCCAAGCTCATGTCGTGATTTGAAATCCAGAAAAAGAATTGCTGAGAAGGGCTGGTATTGGTTGCCTCAGTGGAAGATGAGGGAATAGCCATATTAATGGATATCACAATCCAAAGATTTCCCAAAGGTTGTGGGAGCGGGACAAGATTTTCAACTCATGAAGCTCTAAACATTATGGAAGAAATTCTTCCAAGTTGCATGATAAAGCTCCTTAAGATGTCAAATTCCAAGTGCTTGAGTGAAGCTAGAGGCACGACTACTATAGCTTCCAAATGAATGTTAGATGAAGACAAAAGGGAGCAAAGAACGCGGAGACAACGAGAGGCACAACCAAGAAGCAAATAAAAGAAACAAAAATAAAAAATAAAAATGAAAAGCGATTGCCAGATTAGGCAATGCATATAAGTTGCATTCATGCAGCAGGAACATGTTGCCAGATATATTTGGTTCGGATGCATATAACTTTCTGGGGCTGTAAAATCTAGAAAATATCTTCAAACAAAATGAAATTATGAATTCAAAACTCTACTTCCAAGTCTAGAGAAGATAGTTACCAGAGAAATTTGCCTTGTATGCTACTGCTTTCTCAAGGTATGCACCATTAAATGTTGAACCACTGAAATCAGACTCCCTCATGTCCGCAGCTGTGAAATTGGCTCTTCTGTATCAGCGGTTTAGATTGATTAAAAACACAAGAATATTCAGAAACCTTTCCTAATTAGATCTGTCAACAACTAAATTTGGTTGGCTCCCAAAGACAGAAAAAAGACAGTTGCTACGCAGTTTGTTATGGCAAATAAAAGATTCTTGAACAGTTGAACAATGGAAATAGCTTGAGATTATGAACAATTATGTTCCTTTATCCCCTCTTAACATGAAAATCTAATTACACCTAACCAACCCTATGCTACTCAAATTTCAAAGACATTAGCAGAGACATCATTCTCACCTGAAATTTTCATTCACATGAACTGCTTTCCTGCATAACCAGAAGCCGAGAAAATTGAATCCTCTTCCTAAAAGAAAAAAGAGAATGCTGAATAAATCGGAGAATGTAAAAAGGAACTGTGAAATGGACCTCAGGTCCGCCGAGCCGAACTGTGCGGCGGATCCAATGCCAAATTCGCCGCGAGTCTCCGCTTCATACTTATTGAGATCGGCGAGAGCAGACATGTCGGCGCCAAAAGCGACGACTGCCGCAGCCAGTGCAGTTGAAACCAAAGCTCTCCAGCTCTTCGATTTTGCATCAGCAAACGCACATTTGTCGCCGGAACGATCTTCCTTTTCCAATGAAAACCCTATCAAATCTGAGAACCAACAACATTTCAAAGATAAAAACAGCAACAACGACAATTACTCACCGTGGACTCCGTCTTCGCTTTCTGTTATCTGACAGCGGAAGAACGCGCAACGAGAAGGCTTCGAGAGCAATTGCAAGTTATAGTGCGGACCTCTTGAAGAAGAAGATACGACGTTAAGCGATTTGATGGAAAATGAAGAGACGGAGGTTAGCGCCATCGTCTTCCTGCCGGTGAGTGCAGAGGAATATGGAGGGAAACGGTGGGGGAGGTTGAAGATGAGGCCTCTCACACGTGTGGGATTGTTGCCCTCCATTCCATCCACATGTTTTTTCAGGGGCAGGGAAATGGTTCGCGTGACACACGTGTGCTTCATTCTTGATTGGTTAGCGGTGTGCCACTTGGATAGGAGCATATGATCTTGATGAAACGAATACGCACCGTTGGATGCATTGGGCTTACCTTGCTTATACTGCGTTTGGTTACACGCTTTGCCTTTTCCGTTCTGCTTCATGGACCGAGAATGGGCTTTCTGTTTGTCGTTGTCCCTTGTTTCGGCCTCAAATATATATAAAGGCCTAAACAAAAGCAGCTCTTTTTTGGGCTCACAAATATGAACTTAGCTCAACAAGCATTTGGAGCAGCAGGAAGGATAATTCAAAATTTATGGGTTTGGCCCAAAATTCAAGCCCAAACTCAGAACTAACTCCAAAATGGCAAAAACTCTTTAGCCAACCCTGTTTGCACCATTTTTGGTAACTAATACCTTTTTAGCATTTTTACTTTTAATTAATACCCTTTATAATTTAGCCACACAGTGAGCACAAAGTGAATTATTCTTTCGTTTTTTACTAAAAAATACTTTTTATAATTTAAAATTAATAAAAAAATTTAAAAATTAACGATTAAATTTTTTATCTATATCATGACTTCATTAAAAATTTAAAATTTTTTATGAGTTTTAAATTGTGAAAAATGTTAATTGAGAGTGAAAGTTTTTAAAAATATTAACTATAAAAAATAATAATGTCCATGATATAAATAAAGGGTTTTCCCTAAACTCTTTCTTTCTCATATCAGCTTGATCTGACAGTGCATTTGGGTCTGTGATAGACTCTCTCCATTTTTTTTTTTTAATTTCGAGTGACATTTTTTTTTTTTACATAATTAGTTACTATTGTGAGTTATACAAAGAAATTAAAAATTTTTTAAGTACTGCCTCACAAATTTAAACTCTATATCTAGCCGAGAAGACAATACTTATTAGCCGCTACTAGATGCAACACTTAGGTGCCTTCCCTTGAATTGATGGAACAGATGCATGCCATTTAATAAGGACAAGGAAATCTCATTATCCCATGCATGTGGGGGAAATAATTAAATCCGATGCCAAAGCAATATGGCTATATATCTGGCTACGGTGAAGCTCGTATGCACGTATACGGTTTGAGGATTGGGAGGGCAGAGCCACAAAGCATTACATTCAATATCGGTTTCTGCTCAAGCTCCTCCACCCACCACACAGACAGCAGCATATAGCTCCTCGCAGGCTTTTTGCAGTTACTCACTGCTTTTCCCCATTCGTACATGTAAGCATGAATGCATACATATGCTTCAAACTTCAAAGTACTTCAATTCGACTGCCACCGTAAATGACACTTTGTGATGCATCATTGACGAAAACCAATGAGAATACTTTTTTTTTTTTGGGTATATTTACCATTTTACCAGGAGCTGATGGTCATCGAAGATAAATTTTATAGATAATAAGAATTTTATTAAATTGATATTTAGAAATTTAGAAATTTTAATTTGAGATTAAAGATATGATTCAAACTTTTATATTTCTAAACAGATAAAAATGTTTTATTTTAATTAATAATCTATTAATTTGAGTGAAAAAAATTTAATTTTTTTAAATAAAATATCAAATTTAAATTTTATAAATAAAAAAATAAATATTAAAATAATTCCTTTAATAAGATTTAACCGATTCAACTCGATTTATTTTGGTTTCAATTTACCAGTAAAGGAAACAGCTTTACTATTAAAAGAATACAAGCTCATTACAATACAATCCAATTTATGTAAAGAATAGTTTAATAACCTGAACTCTCCTCATTGTGTGCTAATCCCAACCAAAAATGTCAAGTACGCTAAGAGTGGGCTGGAGTCTTGTGCGCCAGCTAGCAGGTCATACTGAAGAAGAGTGCCAATTAAGGGAGACAGTGTTGAGTCCTAAACCCTATAAGTGTTGCTGGTGTCCTAAAGATTCGAGTCAGTTCATCAGCCATCCCTATACGAGAATTGTGCACCCCTACTCCCAGTTTTCCCTGTTCAATCTAATCAAAACATAAATCAAATTGATGATTATTTATACCAGCAACTTTGGTTTGTAACATTGTTTTTCAATTTAATTTTTTTTTTTAAAGAAAACAATTAAGAAGGTTTTATCAGCATTATAAAATTTTAAAGAACTAACATAACATAAAGTTGGATTAAACATGCATGCAACAGGAATTGAACTTGAAACGTTCAGGTGTCAGTCCCTAGATCTGCCATTATGAAATGTAGGATTTGGAGGAGAAAAACTGTGAAAGATTGACAAATAATTTGACATATATAAAAAAAAAAAAAATCTCTCTTTTTTTTTTTTTTTAATTATCATGCATGTCCATCCTGAATCACGTTGAAATAGTTTTGGGACAAACATATTTAACATAGCTAGCTGCTGGACCACAAAAATACTAACCCATCAAGAGCAAAAGAAAACAACACAAAGTCCAAATGGGCAAAACATCAAACATTTCGCAGGCAGTCATAACGGACCATCCAAATCCCCAATTAATCCAAACTTAGGTTTGGGTTGAACATGCATTTATGACATCTCAGAATCACTAAATTTTTTTTTCTAAATTATTAGCGTACGTGCTTATAAAAATGAAAAAGGAAAATATATAGAGAGGAAAAGTTACAATCTTCCTTCTCTCCGCACTAGTTTATTTAATACATCTTATGTACAACATAGAAATATAGAAAAAATTGTATAAATAAGGATGTCAATTTTATATTTTTTTAACTTTATAAACTTTTAAATAAGGATATTAATTTTTAATTTTTTCTAAATAAAGTCATCAACTTTTAATTTTTTTTATTTAAAGATGTTAACTTTTAATATTTTTTATTTAAGGATATCAATTTTTAATTTTTTTTATTTAAAGATTAATTGGATGATAATACTAATGTGACAAATGAATTTTTTAATTGAAATATTACAAGTTAGCATTTTTAAATAAAAAAATTAAAAGTTGACATATCTTATTTAAAAATTGACAAAATTAACATCATTAAATAAAAAAAAATGTAAAATTAACATCCATATTTATACCTTTGAATTTTAACTTTGAATCAGAGGCTCATTCAAGTGTGTGTCTCAGATTCTCAGGCTCACTTCCCTTTCGGTTCCTGCCAATGGGGTATGGCTCAAATTTTGGGTAGCCCCATTTTCGGTGGTCTGTAAAAGGCCACCACACACTTTTGCAAGCTTTTATTTGATTACAAATTATACATAGGTTATACTATTTGGTGTGCACTTTTTGGAGAGAAAATTGTTGCTTACTGTACCTGCAAGTATAGCTACTACCATGACTGTCATGAAAATACTAAATTATTATGTTTTTCCTTCTATTAAATCATGTTTAATATACTAAAAACATGTACAATTTGTGAATTTAATTAATTATTCGACTAAAAGCTTAGCCAGAGTTTTAAGAACAACTGTTTATCTCGAGAATTGCATACCAAACTGGCACCCTAGAAAGTAGAAATATAAATGAGAGTTCAAATTAATCATTTTTTCTTTTTAAGACTACGCACAGTTTTCCTATTGTACCATTATAATTTAATTAACTCCGCCCTAAAATCTCTACATAGGCTGAAATGGTCTATTAATCCAGAGCACCTACGCTGCCACTAAAACAAAGACAGACCTATCAACATAATGGCAAGAAAAGTTTGGTTTGGATAAGTTTGCAGATTTGTAAGCAATGCCCCGAGCTAGAGAGATGATTGGGGATGAAGATTGAAGAGATGAAAGATCCAAAGCCCAAACCAAATTAGACAAGATAAGCCAAAAAGGAAATTGGAAATCAGGGAAAGGACAAAAGAGGGGGTAGCAGGGAGCAAGCCCGGCAAGCCTGCTCCATGAGATGGTTTCCACTGATCACTTAAATACATGTCTGTCTATGCGTAAGTCGAGAGAGATTGAGTGGTCAAATCACTAAAAGTAACTCTTCACATTGCAAAATAATTATGCTCATTATTGTCTTTTAAAAAAAATAAAAAAAGAAGAGATATGTCGTGTGTTATGATTATGCCATGATATATATATATATATATGAATGTTGATAAGGTCCATAAATTGTATGCATAATACATGGATGAGATAGCCCTGAGAAGGCGGAAGCGGAGACGGTCGGAGGCTTTTTATCCGGGAGGTATAAAGAAGGATGGTTAGGGTTTTGGGGTTCGGAAACTGAGGGAAAATGAAATTATATACTGCAGAATTCAGATTTTTTTAATACGAAGATGGTGTGGGGCCTTCGAAATCACACCCACAAAAGAGAAAGGATTCAAGAGAAAAATACTACACAACACGGTCTCTTAACTGCTGAAAACAACAGGTGAGTAAATGAAAGCTATATCACCCCATGCACACGTCCTTTTCTTGCTCCTCTCCCCCACATCTACCGCCTCTCTCTTTTATCTCTCCCTCACACGCACACACATGCGTTGGGAATGACAAACTATACTGTCTAATTAAAGAAAAAATATTTGCTTGCAAAAAATCTACTAATAAATTAATTACTTTATGAGCTAAACTTTCTCATTTTATTTATGAAAATTTGATTTAAAAAAGACCTTAATTATATCCTCACAAATTCTTTAACTTTATCAGGAAACAAATGTCTTTGACTAAACTTGTGTTACACATTCACAAATTAAAAGAAAATTCAAATAATTGACTTTAGTATGCTTGTAATCTGAGGCTCAAGATTTTTATTGATAGTTTGAGTTGAGCAAGAAGTCCTTCATAAAGTAATAATAGTTTCCTTCTGTTGATATATAAATAAATATGCGTCAATGCTTGTGTTAAGCTTGCCAAGGTAGGCTTATAGGGGGTGGTCAGGAATATATGACACACATGACGACACATGCATGTATGCATGATGAGGTGATGTGATGTATGGCGATAGATGCATGCATGTACCCATCTGATCCCTATACGCAAGAGCAACAACCAGAAGAAAGAGAAAGGAGTTCTCTCTGATCTCTGCTGCCCTTATATCTTGTTTAGACCAGATAGATCATCATTCACTTTTCTCTATCTCTCTCCCCTGATCTCTCCCTCTCATAAAGACCTTTCCTTTCCTTGCATCACAACTCCTAATCAAGAAAAGGGCAGATCCAAGGTGGTGGTTAAGCTGTCAATCTATCAATCAATCAATCACTCGACAAGAGTATCAAGTTTTAAAAGGAAAAGGAAAAGGGAATCAAAGATGTCCTCCTCTTCGGCCTTGTCTTTGGACCACCTCCCTCCCTCCGAGCAGCTCTGTTATGTCCATTGCAACATTTGCGACACTGTCCTGGCGGTATGGTATTCTTTTTCACATCTCTAGTCCCCATCTCTTATGCTTAATTTCTCCTACCAAACCCCGCCCTCAAAACCAATCTCATGCCTTCTCCTGTTTATTCACTGTTTTAACCATATTAGGGTTTTCTTTTAATTCTTTGTCCGATTTGTTCTTGATTTGGTTGTACCAGTAAGGAGTTCTGTTTTACACCTCTGTTATTTTTGGTAATTTTTACACAATCTGTTTGGTGATGCAGGTGAGTGTTCCCTGCACAAGCTTCTTCAAGACTGTAACAGTTCGATGCGGACACTGCACCAATCTCCTGCCTGTGAACATGAGAGGACTGCTTCTGCCTTCGGCTAATCATCAGTTTCACTTAGGGCACAACTTCTTCTCTCCTTCACACAATCTTCTGGTAAAATGATGGAGAACCAAGTTCTTTTTTCTGTTTAATTGATCTCATTTTATGTCATTTATCATGAATAGCAGCATGAGCGTTACAATTTGTGTTACATTTTTGAGTTCTTCTTAATTATGATGATATTTTTTGTTTCATCAGGGGGAAATTGCAAGCCCTACTCCAAACTTTTTGATGAATCAAATCAACACAAATGACTTCACCTTACCCACTCGAGGAGTGGTTGATGAGATCCCAAGGCCTCCAGTTATCAACAAACGTGAGATTTCCAAACCTTAATTTCTTTCCTTTTTTTTTTATATTGGGTTCTTTTAGAGGAGAAAGTACCTAGCTTCAGTACTGTACAAAGCAGATGAAGAACCAATGTAGCTAGTTCCTTCCTTCCTACATATATTTTTTTTTTAAAAAAAAAAAAAGGGGGAAAGAAGAAAACTTTCAATAATGCAGCCTGCAATTCTCCTGCCTTGTATTTCACAAACCAGGATCCCACTGATTTAGCAATAACTTTTTCTTGTCTTTTATTTATAATTGGCGCAGTCCTAAACACATCTTTCTCATACCTGCAAGCCTCTATAACTGATCAGGCTGCAATCCTATGCCTTGAGCACTGTTTCACCTTTGATCACCTCCATAGAAAACCAGAGATATATAATATGACATTATAGGCAATTTAATTTAGTGTTCAAGGTGCTATCATCATGGGCCTTTCTTTGAGCAAAATAGTGCTTTATAAATACCCACCAGATATATAATCTGTAAAGAAATGATAGGGCCTTTTCTTCGCCAGAAAAATATTGTGGATAGTAAGAATCCATATGAACAAAGAAACAGAAAAAATAATGATGAAGTGACACTAGGGGAAAGAGGTAAACCAGAGAAGGTGAATTTCACTAACAGCCAGCATTGTGATGTTAACATGTCTTTGTCGTCTGTCTGTACATGTTCAGCTCCGGAGAAGAGACAGAGAGTCCCCTCTGCGTACAACCGCTTCATCAAGTAAGTAATCATTCAACCCCTACACACATATTCCGAATGCATATATACATACATACATACATACATACATGTAGATATACATATCTGTCTATATATAGAATGTGAGTGTCCATTTTTGAGAAAGCATTAACTTTGATAGCGAATGTGAAATGGCGGTGTGAAATGTGGAATGATGTGCAGGGACGAGATCCAACGAATCAAGGCAGGGAATCCTGATATAAGCCACAGAGAAGCATTCAGTGCGGCAGCTAAGAATGTAAGACCCACATGTTCTATTGCTTCTTAATTTGCCCAACTATGGATTGATTGTATGGTTTCATTTGTTTTCCTTTCATATTCAAAATTGAAAAGAAACATGTATGGTTTTTCTTAATTGCTACAACAACTTGCTGAAGCTTTACATTTTGTTTGTTTTGGTCAGTGGGCCCACTTCCCTCACATTCACTTTGGACTCATGCCTGATCAGACCGTGAAAAAGACTAACGGGCGCCAGCAGGTTAATTACATATATTATATTCCAACCTAACAATTCTATCTACATGCTTGAGATTAATTGTATATCTGCAAATATAACAGGTTTCTAAAAAAATTAAAGAGAAAATACTTTAAAATTATATCGTTTGATGAAAACATTTAGAATAAAATTGAATTTTTTCTAAAAAAAATAAATAATTTTAGTTTTTTTTTAAAAAAAAAATAAAAAAAAAAAATATATTTAAAAAAAAAATATTTTTTTTATAAATTTAACTGATAAACACTTTATATATGATAATGAGACATACATAAAGCTAATGGCACTTTTATTTATTGGGTTTTCATAGGAAGTGGGGGAGGACGTGCTGATGAAAGATGGATTCTTTGCTGCTCCAGCTAATGTTGGGGTTTCTCCCTACTAATTGGCACTACATTTCTCTATTAATTTGCAATGGTGACAGTCTTTTAGGTTAGCATGCCTTTCTGGTGGTGGACTGGGGAACTAGATCAGTTGTGAACTGTTCAAGAGTACTAATTTTAAAACTACTTTTAATTTACTTGATATCTTATGGATCGATGTATGCATGATAGCATCTACCATGTACTTTTTTTGAGACATGATCTCTCTCTACGTACCTCTTCTTTCAACCATTTAATTAACTATTATCACCAGTATATTAATTAGCTACACCTAGAATGCATTCTTCGTTTATTTCGTTGCTTTCTTCTTGCTACAAAGATCAAAAAAAAAAAAAAAAAAAGAAAAAAATCTTGGCATTTTGCTTATTCAAAATTCATTTTTTTTTTGCATCATTAGATCTAATAGACTGGTTTCCTAGGGACGGTTGCATTCTATTTCTACAAGATTGAGGTAATGATTTTTTCCACTATAATTTTGGATAGGAATAAGATTAATTCATTTTTCGATTCAATAAATTTGTCAATACTAATTAATTTAATAATTAAAATTTATAATTAAATTTTTTTTTCAAATTTAAATTTAAAAATAATAATTTTTTAATAAATATGTTGTGAAATATTTAAATTAAAAATTGTACCCATCATTATCATTTTCAATATAATACTGCTGTCTCCAAATTTTTAGACCATATATCAATTTCAAAATATAACAAAATTCAAATCTTTAAATATACAGCCGTCTCCTTTCCCAGACGTGTGAATTTCTGTGTTCGTAATATCTATCTCTAGTAGATTTCTGATCCTTTCTTTTTCTCATTTTTCTTTGATTTCTCATCATCTCCTTTACCTGATTATATCTATTAATCTATAAAAGAAAATTTTCAAAAACCCCAAGTGTGGGTGGTGGTGGCTGTGGAATTTAATTGTATTCCCATGTGCATATGCGGCTGGTTGGTGAGGTGGCCAAGAGGTTTGCATCCCCCGATTCGGAAACGTACATGATATTTTTTGGTGCTACCATGCCAAAACGATGTCTTTTTTGCAGCATTGATAGTGGAGGATGCACCTTCATTCAAGGGCCCTCAATCTCCATCAATAGTTAGTTTTATGTTTGGTATAGTTCCAACTTCACTAAATACTACTTTATTATAGTATTAGATTTAAATAGACAGTTTCCTTCTTTATTATTATTAAATAGGCACATTCTTTAGATAATAATTTAATTTTCTCATTAGAGAAAGCCAAAATAAAATTGAAAGACCAGAAATATATGAACCAAGAAATGAATGGTTTTTTGATAAAAAAAAAAAAATCATGTTAGAAATGAGAAAGAAACATTGAGTATGAATCTTCTTCAACATAGCCGGAAAGCATGGGATTGTAAAGTTGACCTACTTTGCTTAATTATTTGGCCTTAGGGCGTGGAGAATATTGATTATGTGTTCTCTCAATGTGTGAAAGTGCAAAGCTTATAGAAAATGTCTACAGATGGTGAGGACTCAACATAATTAATATGCCTGAATCAATTCATCCAATGTGTGAAACACTGCTTGGGAGTCAAAAATTTGGTGAAAACAGGGGTGCATATGGTTCTTTCTATTTTTTACCAAAGCCTCTTAGTTTGATCTCCAGGTGGCAGCTCCCCTGGATACATTTTTTTCAATCATCCTGTTGACCATGTATTTGATCTGTGTAGGCTGTGTTTTAGAAGTAAATACTGTATAAGTAGAACATATGTCACTACGTTCGGAGGTGTATGACAGGAAGAATACCTCTTGTACTTTAAAGCAATAAAATTTTGATTTTTATCAGGAAAAAAATTGACTTGTAAAGTTGAAATTTTATATGGATAGGTTGCGACCATTGCCAGGAAAGCTTCAATTATTCTCCCAATGTTGTAACACTGTTAGCCATCAAGAAAGGTTTGAAATTAAAGAGAGGGATATCCCACACAAATAACATGATCTCCTTGTTCTCTGTAAAGGGTGTTTGGTCTCAGGTTATCAACCCTCCTCTCTGACCTCCAAAAGCAGGAAGTAAATGCAGCCTTTTTATCTCCAACATGCCAAACAGCATAAGCTGTTCCACATCCAGCTTTACAGAAAAGCATATATATTGGCAGCAGCATATAAAAAGAAGAGTCCATCCACAAAATTGCAGAAAGGAAACTATTCATTAATATGCTTATTTTCGAATAATTTTTAACTAAAGCTTAGTTGAGAGTTAGTTCTTGTTTTAACTTCACCCATCAACCAATTCACCTATGAGATCAGGTCTGCCTAATGTGAGTTGCCATAATTAGGTTTTGCAGTAAATTTCTTTGATGGATCCTGGAAAGCCCAATTTATAAAGGTGGGTTCTTTACAGCTACGCTATTGAATTCAATGACAACCAAAACCAGATGAAAGAAGATTCAAGACTTGGGCCAATGCCCTTTTCAAGCTCTAGTCTTCTAGAAGGGCAAAGGACATAAACTGTGCATCCAGCTAAGGGAAACGTGATTTTCAGCTAGGCCCCATCTGGAATGATTAATCTTCCACCACAGTTGAGCTTCTGTTGTGGGACCTGAATATCTTAAATTGTCTCAATACCAAAAACACATACATATCTGATGACTTTACCAGCGCACCATCTGATTTTGCAGTTTATATATATTCACAACAATGTATTTCTCAATGAAAAGCATGAGTTGAGTTACATGTGGCAAAATGAGTTTCATGATGATGTTCAAGATAAATTTACAACATATGATGTTAAGTTGTATTAAAAATTGAGGAATTGTCATCAGTACATAAATTATAGGTATTAAAAGAATGATATTCCAAGTAAATTAAACCCCAGGAGCATTAACAACATTGCAGTAGGGATAAAAAGAAGAAAAAAACACAATTCAAAATCACCTAACATCCGTATCAACAGGACTAAAATTACAAACATAAACACACACAAAGTGACAATCGACTCATTAAGAAGCCAAGCTCCATCCACCAAGCAACACCAGGAAACACCTCAAAAAGAAAAAACCTACAAAAAGAGGAAAACTAAAACACCGATGATAATCAGCTTCAAGCTCTTGCCTGTGATTGATGTTGCTGAGGAGATATCTTGTGGCCTGAAAAGGGAAACCACATATAAAATCAGATTTTACTTGTCATTTCTTGGCAATAACATTCTAACAGTTAACTTTTACATAAAAGGATCATTATGCCTACTTCTGCAATTTGCTTAGGGCACCACAGAAGAGAGCATTATCTGGCATAGGGAACTCAGTTTTGTTATTAGCCTCAGGATTGACAATCCTGACATAAGTTTCTTGGCCAAGGTACCATGAATCAAGGTTTTCTGTTCTGAGGTTCCAGACTCCAACATTGTCAAGTGATATCAAGATTACGGTCCATGCACCAGGATAAACCTGAAGATAAAGAGATATTAAGCAATATGCACTTGAGGCTTTACAACAAATATAACATGCCTGCCAAAATTAAACTACAAAACTTTACCTGTACTGTGCTGCGTGCAATGCCATCCCACTTATTATAGGTGCCTCTGCTATTCTCTGTCCACTCACCATAGTCCATTCTGTGGTGAGTTGTCAATATTAGAGTTAGTGTTAAAAGCACATTTCAAGATAGCATTGCAAATAAAGATGTGTATATCATCAAGTACAAAGGAAGCAGAATCTTACCCAACAACGAAAAATGCATATCCACTCATGTGATAGGTCTGCACCTTGGTATCATTGTTCTGGAGGATGACTTCCATAAACCCCCTATATGTCCCATTAATTACTGATGTTTCCATCTGGGGAGGTCCTGTAAGTGGCTTAGAGGGAAAATCAAGCTTATATACTCTCTTTAGCTTGTACTGGTCAGCAAGTCGGATTGGTGTGGCAGGATTGACAAATGATATCCCACTGAGTGTTGTCCGTTTTTTTCCATTAATTGTAACTGGTGGCTTGTTTCTCAACACATAAACTTGTGTCACATTGATTGAACCATATCTAAAAGAACCCTGTGGGTTAGGGCGAGCTCCACTAGCGGATACATTCCATCTGTGTAACATGACAACAAAATCAAAATAGTGAATTAAACAAGATAGCCAACTACAGCAGTAATTAAACTAGCCAACATTTGACCAGATCTCAAGTTAAAATAATGCAGAAAAAACCGAAATCTTCACATTAAATCCTAATTTAAATATGCATTTTGCTTTTCCCAAATGATTTTGGAATAACATTTTGTTTTCATTCTACAAAATCTGTCTTCACATAAATAAAGTTTCGACTTAATACCAATTGAAGATGAATTACCAACAAGAAAACACAAAAAGAGAAGATTTTTCGATTTCATTGACTATAATGTCTCGTGTCAAAAAGAACCATCAATAAAAGAGACCAAACAAGCAGAAAAATAGATCAATTTATAGAAAATGATGTACTTAAAAATTGAATCACAATGGAAACTGACCTGATTGATCTTGCCTGGTTCATTGAAAATGTCTTGTCATATTCATCATTTGGTGGATCTGGGAGGGGGCCAGCTGCCTTGCCTTTGGAATTTGTGTAGTGCAAAATGGCGACACCAGTAACTCTTTGCCATTGTGATTGATTCACGAACCTAGCACTTGCTACAATGTAGTAATCGCTACTTGCGTTCTGATCCATAGTTACCAGAAAAGAAAAAGATTGTCCTACATGTATGTCTAAGCTAGTATAATTTTGCTGCACTGTATATGATCCCTCAGACTCTGCGAGAAGCAAATTATGATTCTGAATTCTAAAATTCAAGGAGGTTGATGTTCCAACGTTGTGCACACGAAGGCGGTAAGTTTTCCCTGTCCAACATAAAACAGTCACCATTTAAGAGCTTGAGTTTTAGATTAAACAGAGGAAGTGGAGAAAAAATAAAAATAAAAATAAAAAAAAGAAAAAAATAAAGAGCTACAAAGTTCATAATACATAACAATATACTCCCATTTTTAAATTCAACAAGAATTCAGAATATGAGCTTAAAATAACTAGAAACAATTTGTTTTCCCAATACTGCATCCAAAATCAATCAAGTTAAGCATTTATTGCCTTCAAAACAGTTGGAGTTTTGAATAAGGCAGCTATCACTTAAAATGAAGAGATAGACATGACACTGTGGAACACACTACTCCGCAGCCTTTTCTCTAGGATATCAAGCAACATTTAAGAAGAGAAATGCCTCATATATAAACACTATTAGCATACAGAACCAACTATTAAAGTGGCATTACGCAATTAGCACTAGATATATGATTTAATTTCAACTGCAGAGTTGCTAAATGACCAGTACATCACTTAAATGTGAAATCAGTTGGTTAAGCGAGCATTACTCAACCATAAATAAACAATGTGCATATTAATCACCTGGGTGAACTTCAATTGTCTCATGATCAATGCCATCAGGCACAAGAGTAGTGTTATATCTGTAAGGGCCTTTGCCATTAATAAGAACTCCATCTGGCATCCCTAGATCTTTACCAGCATCGAGGGCCTTCCTCAAGGCCTATAAACCAAATCAAGATTCAGTATTAGACACATTATGTATCCATAACCCCCAACTTGTACCTTCAAAGGAAAAAAAAAAAAAATGTCATTCTTTGATAAAACACTAACCGTGTGGTTCCGGGTGTACCAATCACCAATCAAGATGACAATATCCCCATCTGGGGTTGCAAAAGGAATTGGAATAATTGGCCTATTGTTTATGATAAAACTGCCAAAACCACCAGAAGCTCTTTGGAGGTTCAGTGATGGGAAGTAGAAGAAACTCCCAATCTGGTCCTTGACTTGAAACTGGTAAGTCCAATTCCACTTTGGAGGAATTGGACAGTTTGTTCCAGGAAGCCCATCTTGCCATGAACTACGCCTTTGCTGGATCCCAGACCTACACACCCAAAACATATCAGACAATCATTAGGACTCACTTTTATTTCAGCTAACAAGATTGCTATGGAGAAAACAAATCCTACCAATGAAGGAGCACATTCTCGTCCAATTTGTTACGAACATTGACAACCACATTGTTGTTGGTTGTAACGTTAATAGTAGGACCAGGAAACTTGCCGTTAATTGCAATTACCTGCAAAACAATGCAATCATGGAAAAGATTACTAGACCCGTACTAGCCCAAAAACATCATTTCAAAGCACATTACTGAGTAGCAGAGACAAAAATCTCAAACACTTAGCATACTTAAGCCAGAAAGAACCACATTTTCGTAGATCTGAAGCTAAAAATTGAAACTTTATGAAATGTAAAGGCAACCCAGACCCACAAGGAAAAACCCAGTTAAAACAGTGAGAAAAGGTAGAGAATGCCAAAATATTAAAAGCAGACAAGGAGATCTGGAATGGGAACTAGAGCAGACCTGTTGGGGTACACCCAGAGGAGAAGCAGTGATATAAGAGATCTCAAAATTATAGAAGACAAATGGATCGTCAGCAAAACACAAGCCGGAGAGAAGCGCAATGTGGATAAGAAGCAGACCAAAGAACCACCTGAAAGCCATTTTCACCAAGACAATCTCTTTTAGGGCGTCTCAAAATCCTTTTCCAGAGCCAAATCTTCCTGAACCTTTTCTGGGTTTTACATTATCTGACAGAGAATAGCAAGGAGGAGGCAACCAGAGGCTCCAAAGAACAACTCTTTGGGGAGTAAGAAAACGGCTATATTTTGTTAGAAAGTGAGAAAGGGAAAAAGCAAACTTTGGTTGGGGAATAATGAGCATAGGGTGAGTGATCCCTTAGCCTTTTGATTTGTCGGTCACCAGTTGTCATTCACAGAAAGAGGAGAGAAAAGAATAGAGATAGAAAGGAAGATAATTAGCAATTGAGAGTGAGAAAGAGTGGGTGACAGCCAGTAGTCAGTACACACTGCCAGTTAAACAATAACACCTACAATAGGCAGTATGTCGTATTAGCCAACCGGGACTATGACCCATGGTTGCCCCAAGCTTTAGGGTTTGGGTGAGGTAGAAATTAGGTTTTTAACTCTATCATTGTTGTAATTCTATAAATTTATGATCTAATGGACAGGTGCTTCTTTTGAAAGGTGGATTGTTCACCATTCTGGGATTTAGCCTTAGGGTTTAGGTGAGGTGGAAGTTAAGGTTTCGAACTCTGTCATCGCGATTAACTCTACTAATTTGCAACCTAATGATCACGCGCTTCTTTCTGAGAGGTAAATTGTTTACCATTCTGGGAAATCTTAATTACTAACAACTAACTCTACTAATTTCTTAATTATTATTCTTGTCAAAAAAAAAAAAAAAAGGAGTATGTCGTATTCTTCGTGTAAGAGTTTGTTTAACTTCGTGCATCGAAGAATCCCAAGTGTATTTTTTTTATTAACTTTTTAATATTTAATAATTATATTACAT